ACCACTGGGAAGCATTTTGAAGTTCGATAAGTAAATTGTGACCTAGAGTAAGTTGGTGAGTGATGAAACAATGTTTTTGCTGATTTATAATTTTTTAATGGTCGTCAGACGCCACCTAGAAATTCCTTCCACCATGTCAGCGTCCAACAAATTGATTTTTTGACAGTGGTGGATGGAGAGGTAGCTGTCAAAGTTGAGTGAGTACCGTGAAGCAGAATGAAGTTCGGTGAGCAGTCCGTAACGATGGTATAAGTTCTGTGATTTTTGAAACAATTCACTCTTCTTTCCATTGCCAAAAAAAAAAATTAAATAAAAAAACAGTTGGCTGAATTGGTGGGAATTGGTTTTCCACCAATTCAAGGAAATTGCACCTGTGTGAAGCAAATCAAGAAAAGTAATTCCATGGAAAAGTTTTATTATCAAACAAGGTAAAATATAAAGTTGGAAAATGTTTTCCATTTTCCATGGAAAATCTTGGGCTATCAAACATGCCCTTAAATTAATAATAGAACTAGAGGTACAAATTTTGTTCCATTGTGAAGCCCGAACGAACGGCTAAAGAAGAAAATGAGAACCCAAACTAAATGCATACGTTCACTGGGATTAAGCAGTATTATTAATTAATTGGAAGTAAATTAAGAAAATTGGAAATTAATTGAAAAGGCGCTATATTTTATTACTAAAAAGAGGTAGAAAAGTCGTTTTAAGCAAATTGCAAATTAATTGTTGAATATCTTTGTTATTAAACGATGTTCTCAACCCTAATTGCAATTTTCATCTTTGTTATTTATCTTAATGTTGTTCAACATTGCAATGTGCAATTTGCTGAATATAGATTTTTTTATTTTTTTTTCTAATTGTATCTTGATTTTGCGATAATAGTTTGTGCTCTAATTAGTATCTATTTCGAGAATATTCCACCTGAGACTTATAATCACCAGTGTCTTAAACCAGATGCACACTAGCATCAATTTGTGCCTTCCTAGGAATAATGCCATATTTCTTGAACTAATCAAATATCTTCCCAATTTTGTGAAATTGAGACAATATGAGATGTTGGAATGTTTTAGAGATTTAAATTCCTAATATAACATCAGCGACACTCAAATCATTCATTTCAAACTTGCTTGTTAACATCATTTTATTAGTTCGAATTATAGTCTTATTATTATTATTATTATTATTATTATTATTATTATTCATAATTAGTATGTCATCTACGTATAAACATACCAAGACATATTCATTCATTAAATATTCCCGATGCAAGAGGGAAGAGAAAGGGGAAGAAGTAGGAAAAATGTTGGGACCATTTTAAATTG